GGGGGCAGTGGCGGGGCAACAGATCGCGCATGGGGCGGTCGGCGGCTGCGGGAGGGTGAGACGTGGCACAGAAAAGTCACATCCGAGCCACCAGGGCCGGCGGTGCTCTCAACGAAAAAGCTACAGGCCGCACGCAGAAAGGGGCGCGCGGCCGGCGGGGGGGAAGCGCGCGCGCGCTGCGCGTGCGCTGCGCCAAGGATCGATCGGCGTGCGCGCCGGGGTGCCGCGTGCGTTGTTTCATGGCGGAGCGGTGCCAATGGGCCATGCGGGGCGTCTCGCAAGGAAAGCAACTCGCGCCCCTGCCGCCGCTGCGGGCACGGGGGGTGTCAGGGTGTGGTGCGTCTCGAGGGGCGCGCGCGGCGCGGCGCGTCGCTTCGCACGGCATGCGCCGCGTGGCGCGGATGCGATCAAAGTGAACCGGAGCAGTTCTGCCTTTCAAATGCTGCCTGAGGCGCAGGGTGTACTGGGTGACGCGTGCATGCCAGCGTATATGCACTTAAAACGGGGGCGTCACGCGAGGCCAGCAGGCGGGAGCAGCCACGGCTCCGCCCTGCGCGAAGCCGGCTGCAGCGCGTGCTTTGGGGCACGGCCATCCCAGTGAGACCCGCTCATCACAAGTTCTCCAAAAAAACGATCGCCAAGTGAACAAAGGAAGCCGATCCCCAGCAAGACACCCTCCGACTAACGGCCGCAGGCGGCCCGCGCGACTATCGATGAAAAAAGGGTGAAAACGCGCGCCCGCGCGCGTTCAGCGCGCGCGGCGCCGCGGCTCAAGGGGGCAAAAACAGCCGCGGGCTCCGGCGCCCGGCGCCGCCGCCCGCGAGGGCGGGGAGCGCCAGAGCGGCGGGAGGCCCGGGGCGGCACTTCGGGGCGGGGGTTTGGTGGCAAGCTCTGCTTGGCAGGGTGGCGCGTCTCTCTCCAGGGGGGTGGGAGGGACGCCTCAGAACAAAGGAAGTCGCGAAGGGGCTATCAGAAGTCGGGCGGCGCGCCGGCCCTGCCGGGCCCTGGGACAGACAAAAGCATTCCAAGCCGCCGCGCCAGCAGCGGCAGGTGGGACGCGGATGCGGACGCTGGCACGGGGAGGGCGTTCACAGCCCGCCGGCCGCCTCGGCGGTGCCCCAAGCGGGTGCCCAGGCGGCGGGCCACGGCTGCCGCGGCTGCGGTGCCATCGCTGACTCATGGTGGGACGCCATCTGCTGCCCCCACGCGTGCTGCGGCGCGGCAGAAGCCGCCGCCGGCGGGTAGCAGCCCGACGGCTGCTGAGGGAACGCCGGCGCCGCGAGCCAGGCGGCGGCGGCGCCGCCATCCTGGTCGGCGCCGGCGCCGGGCGCAGCGTGGCCGGCGGTCAGGCACTCTGAGAGGAGCAGGTCCAGGTCGTCTGGGCTCTCTGCCTCCCCAAAATGCGCGGGCGCCGCGGCGGCCGCGCCGCGCGGCCACGCGCACGACGCGCCGCCCACGGCCGCCCACTCCGCCGGCGCGGTGGCGGCCCAGGCGCCGCGGCCGTCGCACGGCGCGCGCTCCGGCGCGCCAGGGTGCTGCAGCTGTGCCGCCTCCTCGGGCTGCTGCTGCTGCTGCTGGGTGTGCTGTTGTTGGTGGTGGGGCGGCGCGAACGAAAAGTCGCCCTCGCCGCAGTCGTGCGGCGGCGCCGCGCCGCAGCCGCTGTTGAAGGCCTCCAGGGCGAGGGTTATGTTGTCGCGGCGGACGGCGCGGCCGCCGTCGGGCGCGGCAGCGGCGGCGGCGGCGGCCGCGGCGGCAGCTGCGGCCTCCTGGGGGCACCACTCGTGAATCTGAACGGTCACGAGGCCCCCGCAGCCGTCGTCCTCGCTGCTTGCCACGCCGCCGTCGGCGGATGCGCGCGCGCGCGCCCAGGCGTGCGCGCCCTGCGCGGTCTCGTCGCTTGCCGTCGCGGCGCCGTCGACTGGGGCGGACGCCGCGGCGCCCGGCGACGCGGCAATGGCCGTGGCGGGAACGCCGTCGGCCGGCGTGGCTGGCAGAAGGGGAGGGGGCGTGCGGGACTCGACACACGCGGCCGGCGGGGTGCACGCGGCGGCCGCGGCAAACGCCGCCGGGGGGTGGCCGCCGCTGCAGCTCATCGTGTGAGTGAGGGACGAGGCGCCGGCGCCGTGGGACAGCCGGGAGCGCTTGGGCGAGCCGCTGGCGGCGGGGGCAGCGCCGGCGCCGCGCTTGTCGTCGCGAGGGGACGGGGGTGTCGCCGCGTGCGCCTGCGCGCACGCGTTGCTGCCTGAGCGGCAGAAGAAGGCCGGGACGTGCGGCGCCTCGGGCTGCCAGTGGGCGGCGAGCGCCGGGAGGGAGGACGCGGCCAGAGACCCGTGCTCAGACAGCCGCCCCGAACGGATCGCCAGCTGCGCCGCCC